TACATAATTTTGATTTGATTTGATTTAATTTTTTGAGAATACATATTGATTTAATGTCATACACCCATCTAAAGTGTTGGGATTCAACAGAATCTCGCAGATTTATAGAAATAGAATAGAATAGAATAATTATTTATTGTACAAAAAACACCAATTATAGGTAACAATAATATTAAACAAATAGTACAATCGGCGGACTTATCGCTAAGAAGCAATTTCTTCCAGGCAACCATTACCGTTTGGAAAATTTTAATTTTAGTCTAAATTAGGTAGTCTATGGTGTCATAAATGTACTATAGGTATAAATATCATACATACTATAACTGGATATAATGTAAAAGTTCATAATGACAGATAGTGCTTCTTTACTAGATTACCAGATTATACTAATTATACCTTTAGGGGGCGTCCATAAATTACGTGAGGTGTTTTTTCAAATTTTCTGACCCTCCCTCCCCCCCTGGTGAGATGTCGTGAGATTTTATTCAATCCCCTCCCCCATCCCCAAATCTCACGTGAGATTTTTCAAAAAGTGGGTTTCTTATTTAAACACGTTGGATTTTTTAATAAAAAGAAAATTCGCTTCGTACTTTTATTTACGACTAGTTAGAGACTAGTAATCCATATTGCTCTTATTCATCGAGTCACACGTTCAGCTGACTGTGGCGCGAAAACAAAGGACGGGCTACATTGTACCGTAAATTCAAATTAAATTGAGCTATTTGGTATAAAACGAGTATAGTGGTTTGACAATCAGGAGTGATGTATAATGTCAAAGTACGAATGAAATTATTTTCTTTCCAACGAATTAGTGAATGATCTTAACCTTAGACTTGTCACTCTATGAGGGATTCCCCGCACCGAGCCTTATTTTAAAAATTGCGTGATATTTGCCGAGACCCCCCCTCTCTCCAACGTGAGATTAGATGAGATTTGACTCGACTCCCTCCCCCCCTTAAACATCTCACGTAATTTATGGATGCCCCCTTACCAGATTATACCTTTACTAGATTATACTAATTTCTAGGAGCATTCGGTCTCTAAGTTCTGTTTTTATATGGACTCGACGAGAATCGAAACATCTTAAGCGCCCTGTGCAACGTATATACCCAAAATCACTAATTTTTAACTGGTTTTTGTACATATACTTATATATCATATTCTTACAATACTGACTTTTACGATGCAAAAATGGTTCTTGACTTTTACGATGCTTTTACACATTGGTTTGCAAATTTTTTGCATTAAATATTATATTTGAAAAACAGTACAAATTTCATGTAAATCGTAGTAGTACGTGTAGTGAAGACTCAAACTACTAAAGTTTAATGAAAAATGCTTAAAAGATACACTTTGTCCCTGGCACTCTGAGATGGAATTCGAGCCCATGACCTTTCGTAATTAGACAGAGGTCAAAAAAGCTTAATAAAAGTGGTCAAAAAAAGATTCTACTATTCGATATATAATTACTAAGGTTTAACTATTTTTTAAGAAAAAATAAAATAAAAAATTAATAAAACAGAGGTCAAAAAGCTTAATAAAAGTGGACAAAAAAATATTCATATAAATAACTTACACCATTGGCTATTAAACTTTTTTGGTGATGAAACACTTATAAAAAATTAATATTTACACGTGATGAAACTTATAAAAAATAAATATTTACACGGAGCTTCTAAAATAAAATAAAAAAAACATTATTTTTAGCCTTAGGTGTATTGTTTGCTGAAATATGATAATTACATGTACTTAGTTCCGCGGAGTTCTAGGACTCTATAAAGCGTCACGGAGTTCTTCAAATCACCGCGGAGCTCACTTTGAGAATCGCTGATATAACTATTTAAAATATTTTGTATGTTATCCTATATCTACATAAGTCATGAGCTGATGAAGTTATATGTTGTTTTTAATAATAATTATGTGATCAAAATTTATTTTAAAATATCGCAATTAATAAGGAGTATTAAAAAAAATCACTAAAAAGCGCCGCCACTAGATGGCGACACTAGCAAAAGTTGATTTTTGTAGGAAACTAATGGACTAACATATTAAAATACTGAAATTTGAAAAGTTCGAAACTTAGATACCAATTCGAAAAAGTACAAATAGAATATGAGTTGTTTTTTGAGTTTTGAAAAATATTTTACTTTTAGACATGAAAGAAAACCGGAAGGGTTGTCATGGAGAAATCAAGAACGTACCGTAGCGACATCTAGTTTGATTTCGGGAACTAAATTTTTTATTTTATTTTTCGTCATACAAGTTCTATATCGGTTGGAAATCAGAATACGGATTTAATAATAGATTACAAATTAGTAACACTCACTGTAATCCACAAGTTTAACCGATTACTAAAGTAATTCTTTTATCTACCTAATTAGGTTTGCCTTGTTCAGTTGCAATAATATAAATAAGCACATGCAATCCGTAATCTGTTATGTATACAGTACATATACTAGTGGGCCGTCCATTAATCACGTCAGGGTCGAAATAGGAAGAGGGGTTCATCAAAAATCAAGAAATATCACAAGGGGGAGGGGGGGGGTCTAGTAATATATCACGTGTTTATTTTTACTCAAACGCACGATTATTAAACCGAAACGCGACATCAAAAATTCAGACTTATTGTAGGTACTAAAAAATTACACGTTATTTGGATGGAGGGAGGAGGGGGTTAAACCTTACCATATATCTATATGTATAAAAGTAAACTAATTTAAAAGTAATCTAATTTACTTTTATACATGAAAGAAAAAATCGGAAGTGCTTTTTTTTTATTTATTTTATTTATTTACAATGGGCTCACTCTTGACCTCAATCTAGTCTAAAGACATAGATGAGATCAACGGTGGGACGAGCTTGCCCAGAAGGAACCTATTCACTCTTGCCTTAAATAGGTCTGGGAACTTTGTTTTGGGAACTATTTTTTTTAATACTTCCTCAATGGAGGGCATTTACGCCTGTAATATTATCAAAACAAAGGCTGTTCAATAAGTCTTGTTCTATGGTTAGTATTGGAGGGTAAAAGGAAAATAAATATTTTTATTTTGAAGTGTCATCATAATCAAGTAATTAACATTTGGTGTAATTGTGCTACGACTAAGAGTTTGGGTGCAGTTATTTTTCTTTGACATTGATATGGCGAGTTTCACAAATCGTGATATAATTTTAAGCGTGGTTTAAGTGAAAAAGAATGCTTGGATGAAATGATTTCCATATTTGATCATAAAGCGCCTTTATTTACGATACGAGGTATTTACGATTCAAGCGGGGTCAATATGGATTAGACGACGAAATTAGGCCGGGAAGGCTCGTCGAAATGAATGTGCCAGAAAACGTAGCTTGTGTGAAGAAAGCTATACAGGATGACAGACGGTTTACCTACCGGCAGTTAGAAGAACTCTTACACATTCTTGTAGCTATATTACACAAAATTGTGACGGAATAAATACACGTAAAAAACTTTGTACTCTTTGGGTACCCCATAATCTAAACGAGCAGCAACAGCAACGTCGTGTAGAATGGTGCCAATTTATGCTAAAGAAGTTTTCTAACGGAGAAGCAAAGGATGTGATTTCAATTGTTACAGGTGACGAAACTTGGATATATTATTATGATGTGCCAACTAAAGTACAGAACAAGATATGGGTCTTTGATGTCGAGGAACAGCCAACTCAGCCTCGTAAATCACAAAGAAGACAATTACTAGTCTGTGGTACACTAGCACTTGTTTGGCTTAGGTGTTCGAGGAGCTAGCAAATCGCTCACAGAGCTGGCGCCACAATGGACTATTTGAAGACGGTTGGCATCAAAGTGTTGGAACATCCTCCCTACAGGCCTGACCTTGCACCATGTGACTTTGGTTTATTTCCATACGTCAAAACTCAAAAGATGCAAATTCTCTTCGGAAGAGCAGTTGATCGGTGCTTTTGAAGAAGAGCTGGAATTAAGTTCTAAAGAAAAATGTGGAAGTTGGATTGATGATTAATATAAGCGTATGATAAAATGTATTAATTGTGAAGGACGTTAATTTGAGAAAATATAATATCATAAGATCATACGACAAGACTTATTGAACACCCTTTGTAATAGATTGACTACCTTTCCTACCCAACCCACTGTAAATCAGTTTTATTGATATATATAACTTATTAAGTACCTAGAGTAGTCATACTCTCTTAAAAATCTCTGCGGTGGTGTCGTGTGCGTCGGGTCGTTACGTTCACTCAAATATAGTTGAGCGAAGCGATGGCTGGCTTATGCGTCAAGTTCGTGAACGAGTGCTGCCAGTGGGGTAGAGTCTGCACTGGACTACTTAATTTCCTCCATTTTCTTTTATTATGAATATAGTATATTGATTTATCAATGAGTATGCAGGATTTCCGATATTGTAATGGAAAGTTACTTCATAGTCTAATTAAGTCACATTCCTATAAGACTTGTTAAAAAAGCAGCCCTTACTGAGTTTCTTGCCGGTTCTTCTCAGTACAAGATTTCACGCCTTAGTTTTGCGAACCGTTGGCAAAGTTTTCGACTTTCACAAGTACTATATAACAGCCTAGACTGAATAAGATTTTGTTATTTATATTAATATATATAATTGACATGTGGATGCATAACGGCACCTAAGGAAATAGTGCACATAAAAAAAAACAAGCTGAATTCTGCGCTCTGCTTGTATTCTTGATTCCAAACATGATCTGGCGCGAAGCTGGCGGTTGTCGACTTAAGGCGCGTTGAGTTGAGTGGAAGTTCATCCGGGCATTGAATAAGCCATTGACGAATTTATTTCTGAACGGAGAAATATAATGTCAAAATGACTGTAAAGTCAGTGTCAAATTGACAGTTTTGACACAGTCAAACATTTGTTTTGACATTTGTACGGACGATTTTGTTGTTATTCGTGAAATCACGTGTAATAATCAAATTAATTGAAAAGTAGTTTGAGACTAAGGAACTGGTATGAATTTGTCGAATGTATTATAAAAATCTCTGCAAACATGAGTCGTTGTGACTTCAAAATTGTTTTGCTAGGTAGCGAACACGTAGGGAAGACCAGTTTGGTATTGCGATTTGTTAATAGCACATTTAATTCAGGGACACCGTATCAGAATGTAAGTACTATCTATTAAATGTGTTATTATCGTCATTAGATACTATCTGAAACTTATGAATAAGTTATATAAAATATTAAAAAAAATTAAGCTAAATCATTTTCATATGATAGTTTAATTTTTGTCTGCACTATTGATATGCAATTTTAGTCCTTAGTAGTTGCTGAATCATTATTGTTTTTTTAAACAACACATTTAAAAAACAAAGGATTGTCAATTACATACTAAAATACCGGAAGTTATCTGTTTTTTTGTTGAATCATACAGAAATTTTACTAAAATCAATTCAAATAGAGATGGATTACAATATAGACTATATTTTTTTTTTGTCTGTCTGTCAGGATCATAAAAAAATATACTTGCTCCCTGGTACTCTGAGATCTGGCACCATGACCTTTAGCAATCTGAGTGACTGCTCTAACAACTGAGCTACTTAAGACCTAACAGGATCGACAAATTTTTCAAGCACTTTTTACTTTTTTGCTACTATAGAGCATATTCTCATCAATGTTCAGGCAATTCACTCAAAAAGCCAAAAGAAATGTTTTAACAAATAGTTAACCTTAGATAGTTAACCTAGATAAAGATGAAAATTTTTTCTAATTATTACATTTGATCAATTTCACTAGGTCTCAAATATAACCACTGAGTTGAGAAAGGTTGGTTCAAATCCCATCCCAGGGTGCCTGGGACCAAGTGGAAGCATTTTTCATAAAAAAAAAAGATTCACATCTCAAAATGAATAGGTACCTGCATTTATTGTAAATTTCCAAAACATTTATAAAAAAAGAATTAACATCATGTGTGCTACAGTTGAAAAGGGCAAAAGCGCGATTCCTTTGTTTGTTGAGTAAGAAAATTATTACTTTTTTCAGACTATAGGTGCTGCATTTTGTGCAAAGACAATGCGCTCAAATGGAAAAGATTTCAACATCGGTATATGGGATACTGCTGGAAGTGAGCGGTGAGGGACTTTGTAATAATTTTGATAGCTAGTGGGAATGAAAATTGCAAATAAAAACAAAATATAAGCTATACTATAATCAATCACAGCAAATACTATACATAAAGGAACTTAATAATTGTCATTGTCCACAATTAAAAGCACAATTTGTAGATTTTTTTTGCAGTTATGACGCCTAATATTTAACTTGTATAATTTGTTTGCAGTTATGTGGCCTAAAGGTTATTCTGTATAATTTGTTTGCTGTTACGAGGCTTAAAAAGATATCCTGTACAATCTATTTGTAGTTATGAGGCTAAATCACCACAGTCACCTGTATATTTATTTGTCTTAAAGTTACCCTGCCTTATTTCATTCCAGTTATGAGGCTATGACACGTATGTACTACAGGGGAGCGCATGCAGCTGTCATTTGCTATGAACCATGTTGCTTAGAATCATGGGCACGACTAAGGCATTGGTTGCAAGAATTGAGAACAGTTGAGGAGGTAAGATTATGAGTTACATGACTAAGTCCGTCGCGTCCAGCCCCGCTTCCAGAGCCCCATGCCCCCCCGAGTACCTGACCACCTTTTTCTGTAACAGGGTGCTGTCCCTGGGGCTAATGGGCTTATCCCACAGGGGGACGGGTGGGGCGTCAACCCTGTCCGCTTGTCCGCAGAAGGGGAGATGCGCTAATACGCAATTCTCTACCTCTATCCGTCCGTCCGCGTGTATAGAGACCACTACCCGGACCTCCCATGGCTGTCTCCTCAGGTCTCTCCCGAAGTACTCTACTGTCTACGACCTATGTCCATAGTCCCCCGGCGCCGCCAAGGCACTTCAGCGCAGATGCGTATCCCCTTTTTTATAACGCAGGGGCAATGCACCTAAAGCCATTAATGATTTTTATTTTGAATTCGGCGCCAAAAAGATTGCGCTTTAATATGCGCCATTTTATGACGTCAATCTTTAGTAAACAAATTTTAATAGCGATACAGCGATCGTGAGATTAGTGGGAATATTTTTAAGTTTTTTTTTTATTGTAATTTATAACTTTTTTAAAGAGTTCACAATTCAATTTCTATATAATTAATGTAGTAAATAATGTTATGAAGTAGACTCATAATTTAAGGAGTTCGCAATTAAATTTCTATATAATTAATGTAGTAAATAATGTTATGATGTAGACTCACGAGTGCTAATGACACTGCCAGCTGATACATTATTATGACGTCATATGATTTTTCTTTGATATCACGTGACACGTAGCTCAAAAATAGTGATTTTATTTTGCAAAAATGCACGTAATTTAACCGTATTGTTAAAAATTACTAATTCAACTGTAAAAAAATAAATAATATTACCATCATCAGCAACCCGTTTACTTCTCCACTGTAGGGGCTAAGGTCTTCATTATGGAAGATGGGCCACGACACTCCACGGTGGCCCGAAGCGGATTGGAGGGTATTAACGACTGCAAATGAGCAGCCAACGGCTTAACGTGCATTCCGAAGCACGGAGTAGATCTAGATAATTTTTTTTGTCCCCCATCCTGTGACAGACCCTAACGAAAGTTGCTTAACTACTCAATTTAATATAAGTTTCATATAGTATACTGATCACTTTCAATATCTATTTATTAACTTTTCAGGAATGTAAAGTATATTTATGTGGCACTAAGAAAGACTTATTAGACTCGGGGATGGTGAAACGGGAAGTGCCTGAAGATATTGTTGCGACTTATTCACAAGGACTTAGGGGTCATTTTCTAACGTCGAGCAAAACTGGAGAGAACGTTGGTAAGCTATTGATCATTACATCACCATATTAAAGTCCCCACTTCTGGGGCTTAGGACTTCCCTATGGATGGAATTGACTCAAAACACGGGCCCAGAGCGGACTGGTTGGTGTTAACGACAGCAGATGCAGCCGAGACTAACGGCGTAACGTCCATAGCACGCAGGATCTCGAAATTAATGAATTTTTGGTCACCCATCCCATGATAGGCCATTGTGAAAGCTGCTTAACAACCGTATCGCAAACCGAGCTCGCTAACCACTGCGCCATTGAGCTCCTTAAATTATTGATAGTAACATCTAATATGAATCATCTATGTCCTAAGAGATATTAATGGTAGAGCAAAGAAGTTAGAATTCCAGAAGTGTAGTTAAAAAGGGAGGGAAGATCTCGGTTGGCTATCTATCTCTTTCTACTCGCGCAATCATCCTTAGCGCGGCAAAGGTGTAAAACAAATCGAAATGTGTTTGTTAGCTGTCTTTAAAGGATTTATGCGTCAATAGATAGTGCCAGTTTCTTTCTTTTTTACTCAGTTCAAAAAATAGAAGGAGGTTCTCAATTTGACTGTTTTTTTTTTTCTGTTTGTTACTTCAAAACTTTTTACTGGGTGGACCGATTTTGATGATTCTATTTTTATTTGAAAGCGGGTGCTTCCGGTGTGGCCCATTTTCAGAACAGTATTTGTTAGACTTAGGAGCAGGTTTTAGGTATATTAACATACTAAAAAATGGAGGCACTTTAACACGGTTTTGACGCGGTTTTCTGAAAAGTATTTTTGATGTTACCTATTATATAAAACTATCAATATCCCTAAAAAGCATGAAATAAAAAACTTAAAAAATAGAACCGCCTTCAAAATTAAAAAAAGAGAAAAATAATACTTATCTCAAAAGCGAGTTATTCAAGAAAATGCTATTGAAGTTGGGTGCCCATAAATTAATTAATAACTTACAGAAAACCTCCGCCGGACTTCAATAACATTTTCTTAAATAAGTCGTATTTGAGATAAGTATTATGTTTTCACTTTTTCAGTTTGAAGTAGGCTCAATTTTTTTTAAGTTTTTAATTGAAAGATGACTGTCTGTCTTCTCTACTCTATGAAATCTTTATTAGTCTGAGAGGTCGTGACGAAATTGTTCAAGAGTTTCCTAAGCAATGAGGGTATATATATACATCATTTAGTATCTAATGTGGAGATCAGGTTCTGGAATGCCTGGTGGCAGACATGTGAAATAAACTAATATCTATTTATTATTAAAAGATTGCTTCCACTAAATGAAAGTCTTGACTATTTTTTTTTTCATTACTTTAGTAATTAATTAATTTAATTATTGTGAAATTTTTTATGAGCTAATTTTATATATAATACTTCCGCATACTGAAAAGAACGAAACTCTTGCATGTTTTTGTCACGGGCTTTTGTACTATATGAGTACATGGAATTTCGTCCATATTAATATGCCTACATAATTGTTAATCTAAAAGAAACCATATATTTTATTGTAGAAGAGCTATTCCAAAAGATCGTCGACGACTGCGTCGCCGATGCGAAACTAATGAGGAACGTTGAAGAAATGAGAGTGCAGCTACTCAAAGAGGAAGAAGCTTATAAAGCGAAACACAAAGAGTATTGCAACTGTTGATGCATCTAAGAATCGCTAGATGGCGCTGGTATATGTTATTGGTAGTCCTCATGTCCGCTAGATGGCGTTGAACTTAAAATTCTCTGTGGAAGAGAGTTTGCTATTAACGGTTTATTAAGAGCGCTTTTGCATAAACTAGAGCCTTATAAGTATAAGTGCGTTTGAGCCAATATCGTAAAATATAATTTTCTTAGATTATACAGCTGATATGCTATTTATATACATCATGTTTGTATGTTCATTATTTCAATTATTGAATTCCATTGTCTTTTCTATTTAGGCGATTCGTTAATATCCAAATCAGAATTCGAATTCACTCAGCACGTGTATGACAAACTCGAGACTGCTTTGTCTACACCTAAATGTCACTTTCTCGGATCGAGAGTGAGATGTTGTATGAGCGCATCCGAGAAATTCAATTGTCATTTCGAAACTCACTTCACTTATGCCACGAAACGTTTTACCAATTCAATTGGTCTCCGTATTCACTTCAAAGGCGGCATCGGCCCAATATTGAATTGGTTATAACGTTACGTGGCATAAGTGAAGTGAGTTTACGCCTATAAATAAATTTGGTTTTGTATTTTTTATAGAAAAAATGGAATCACTAGAATTTATACACTAAACGACGTGAATACATGAGTGAATTTGAATTCGGGTTCGGATTTTTATGGAATTGCTCCCCTTCAAGGACATTGCTACGTATAATTTTTGTAAGCGTAAGTTTTCATTTTTTATGTTTCCATGAACTTTTGTTTATACTATATTGAACTATGCACCTCTAAAAACTGTTTTTAAGGTTGCGTATCCAAATGTTAAAACGGGAACCCTATTATTAAGACCTTGTTGTCTGTGATGGTTAGACAATTTAAATTTACACAGATGTTGTATTTCTGTTGCTCCTTTAACAACAAATATTAAAAACCTGAATACAATTATTTAAGGTCCCATACAACGAACGTGATTTTTTTTTGCTTGTTTTTGCTCGATATTCATACCTTTGCAATAAATAACTTTAAAATAAATAATTAAATTAAAATAAAACAAATATTTAATTGGGGCTCCCATACAACAAAAGTGATTTTTGTTCGTTTCTAGTACAAAACCATTCGTGTGCGAGTCTTAAATAATTCTTAAATGACCATATAGGTATACTCATTTTGTCTTAGTATGGATATGACATTTAAATTTATATTCTCAGTGTACAATAATAAAAATATAGTTTTTATAATTATTTTAGTATATTAAACCAACTCCCAGATACTAAGATTTAGTTTATATACTTCTCACAAATATTTGTTATAATAGGGAATATCACGCAAATCTTAGCATAGATGGCAGCACAAGCGCATGTAGTAAACAAACAAAACTTTTCCATCGTTTTCTCTTTTGTAAATGACTGATTCCCTTCCTTTTAACATTAAAAGATGCAGCAAAGATGTATTATTGAATAACATCACACTCTGTTTAATTATAAATTCAAATAATATAAACTGCCTACTATACTCTCTATTACTTTACTCTTTGCTCGCTACTCTGTGACTGACGTTTGAGGTTTATATACAAACTTTATATATTATAGATTGTTTATTACATGCGCTGGTGCTGCAATCTGACGACAGAAAATTGCAGTTTCGAGTCCTATTCTGAAATCGTTTATCTGTTCTTGAGAGGTTATTAGAATTTTCTCTGTTAATTAAATCATCACGACTTTAATGCCATTATTAACACTAAACTAGTATTAGTAGCATCACCAAAGTTTATTGCAGCTTTAATTTAAAAGTGAAATCTAAATTAATATATTTGCATTTTTGCATTACTAATATTATAAAGAGGAAACATTTGATTCTTTGTTTGTTTGCGATAGGCTCCGAAACTTCTGGATCGATTTAAAAAATTCTTTCACCAACGGGAAGCTACATCATACGCGGTGGACATAGGCTTTACAGAGCGAAGGGAGGGGGGGTATAGACGAAGGGCGCCATACGAAGTATCTGCCCTAGTTAGAAAAAATCGTTGATCCGGGCCCGAGTTTCAGTATATTGAACTCTCGCTATAACTCTATTGTTTTTTTCTTCAATGTTCATGTTGATATTCATCTACAGTCTCTGTATAAGAGGTCATGACAAAAAAGTATGTTACGATTTTTCGTATTTTACATTGCTCCGCCCGACCCCCTCACTGGGTACTGGATGATGTATATGTACCCTTAGTACTTCAAAACACTCAAATATCATGCTTCAAAAAGCCTCTGGACTTTTTGTCACGAGCTCCCCGTCTATTATACATGACTTTTTTAACCAGCCAGTAACAAATTGTTTGTTACTTAAGATTGCCAACAGTGCGTCGGGTTATAATAATCTATTAAATTTCATACTTAAAGCCATTAAGAATAAAGTTGGAAATGAATTGCGAAAATTTGACATCCTGTAACCTGCAGATTAATTCCGCTAATATTTGCATAATAATACCATCTCAATAGAATTATAACTACTCGCATTCCGATATTGTACTATCTACCTGAAGGACAATATTATTTATTTATTATAGGCACACTGACATATTACAATCATTACTATAGGTATAATATAGTGTTATTAAGCTTATATAAGTCTATACGGCAATCCTTAATAAGTGTACACAACATGATTACAGTGTTGTTATTACAAAAAATAAATAAAAAAAAAAACAATAATAATAATAATGCTGCTGTGACTGAAGTAGCTCGGTGGCGTAGTGGATAAGCGCCGCGGCCCGCGATCGTTGTCGTTAAGCAACTTTCGCAAGGGTCGGTCACGGGATGGGTGACCACAAAGTTATTATCTCGAGCTACTTCGTGCTTCGGAAGGCACGTTAAGCCGTTGGTCCCGGCTGCATTTGCAGTCGTTAATACCCTCCAGTCCGCATTGGGCCAGCGTGGAGGGTCATGGCCCATCCTCCTTAACCATCCATAAGGAAGGCCTGAGCCCCTGCAGTGGGGACGTAAAAGGGCTGATGATGACTGAAGTTAGGAAAATGTTGCATCTATAACAATATTGGATACATTTTTTATATTGAAAGAAACTTGGATTAAATATATAATAGTCTAGATCTGTATTATTGCGAGTATACTCATTGTAAGTCCGGCACATTCTCACCACTGGGTTATAAAATGAAGTGTTATTTTTAAAAAATGCTATTGCAAAAATATTAGGACGTCCAGATCTATATTATTAGTGCAATGTCTCCCTCACATCAACGGTGATAGATATATAATAATATTATACTTCATGTAGATAGTACAATGACAAAATGTAAGTAATTAAGATTCTATTAAGATGGTATTATTACGTAAACATCAATAAAATTGCCCGCTAGTCTGCTGCTGTGTGTATCTACTCGACTAATGAATGAATGAATGAATGATCGTTCATTCATCATTCATTCATTCATTCATTCATTCATTCATTCATTATCCGACCAAAAGAAGTCAACACGTCTCAATTTGTCATTTTCTCTTCTGTCATTGTAAATTTGCTTTAGTCGGTTAATGGTTTAAGGGCCCTATTAAATTTCGAGTGTGATTTTTGCTTAAAATGGTAAATTTTGGCGTTCTTGATCTCGTAATCAAAAATATGTTAATAATCTATAGTTGTTGATTAGTGAAGAATAACTATTGGCATACTTCGTAGCGGCTTTGCTTTTTGTAAATTGTGATTTACTTTTTAATTAAAATCAAAAAGGCAGTGAAGAAATTTTCTATTATATCGTCTAGGACGTCATTTGGCGTAACGACATTATAAAAGTATGCCATATCCGAATAAATACTAATACAAATTAATTATGTGTAACAAACGTTTGACTTATAATGTTAACGTAATAATTTTTAATGGGGATGATAACTAATTTATGTCTGTCTGTCTGTCGGGTAGATTAATAAAGCTTTTTTATTTATTTTTTATGGAGATTCATTCAGTTGAAACATTTTCTACATAATTGTGCGCGTGATGTCACACCTTTGTACATTTTCTACATAATTGTGACGTAGAGAGCCCTCACTCCACAACTTTAATTCCTGTTATCTCAGCCGTTTCTTGTTAAATTGAAGCAAAAATATGTATATAATATTTTTCTATTATCTGACTGACAGACATAAAAGAAGTATTATTAACACATCTAATTTTGTGTCACAACATTTCACAAGAAAACTTATTAATATAACACGACTGAATTCCTAATTGTGTAACTAAACCTTATAATGTTATATAAATGAGGTTATAATTTGTATGCATCCTATTAATGACTGTTTACTATAAGTTTTTAATGTGAAAAGATAATATTCTAGATTATATATAAAATGAAACGCCAATGTTTCATTTGACTCAACTGTTCATAGATGGCGCTGTTTTGATATGATGATTTTTACATTATTTTATTAGTTTGTCGTGTTCGTTAATGTGAGTTAAATCATTAACGCTAAATTTAAGCTGAAATTTTCTATCTGTGATTGAGCTGTAAGGTCTAAAAAAAAATTAGTTCCCGAAATCAATCTAGATGTTGCTAGTCGCTTTGGTACTTTCTTGATTTCTCCATGACAACCCTTCCGGTTTTATTTCATTTATAAAAGTAAATTAGTTTTCAAAACTCATTAAACTACTCATATTCTATTTGTACATTTCCTTTTTTTTATTGATATCTGAGTTTCGAACTTTGCAAATTTCAGATTCTTAATATGTTACATTTAAGTTACATTTTTCATACTTTTAACTTTTAAGTTACAAATTCAACTTTTTAGTCCTTTTTTACTCCTACTTAATTTACTACCATTTTATTTTATTATGAATACTGTATATTGCTTTATCAATGAGTATGTATGATTCGGCAGCCGGCATATTGATCAGTAACCAAAAAAAATGTAAATGTACCAAGTAAATTAAATTATGGTTTCAAAAACCACAAACAACACATTACTGAAAAAAAAAAACATGTTATTAAAGACCGGAGTGCCCTAGTACAGGCAT